AGAATAACTAGCTGAACCCGGCCACGCGTTGCTGTGGCCCAGAATGGTAAACTGGAAGAGAACGAAAATAGAAAGCGCACCTGTCTTATATGGTTAATATCAGTCACTGCACAGCTACAGAAATAGTCTGATATGCCGACCCTAGAATACGCAACATATCAGTGAATGTCGATATTAGTGGTCGAATAAAGTGCACTGTTAGGGAAAGAAAAAAAAAGATTATTTTTTTTCCCAGACTAAAGCATCTCTTGTGCTTAAACAGGTGAAAGTAAAGTTGACTGCTAAACCTCAAACTGACCTACAAACTGGCACACAAAAAATGAGAATAGCCGAGGAAGCGGTTTTAAAATATTAATATAAGTTATAAGCTCTCTGAGCTAACAGTGTATGTCATAACCCCCCCCCCCCCCCCCTTTTTTTTTTTTTTTTTTCTAATTATATCTCCCTCTCCGAATGATTGAAAAATTATCACCTGGCGCCATTGATAAAATAGAAATAGTTAAGAAAGGAGAACTTTAAAAAAATGTTTCAAGCTCTCTCAGTTAACAGTGTCTGGCATCAACCCCGCTTACCTCCCACCCCACCCCCTCCCCACCCCGACAATCATATCATCCTCTACTAAGTTTGGGGCATTCATCGCCTGACGAAATATTGTTGCTATCTGATCTGGTAGTCTTAGTTTCAGCTTCATAGCAAACGGGTCACCCAACGAAAAACACACAGAATGTTTATCACAGTATTAGAATTGCAGCTCATCATTGATGGTAGCAGAAGTCGCCAACAGATCAGCAGTTGCCCACGCGATCAATTTTAATCACATACGGGCACCACAAAACTGCACGACAGGCATCGCGCCATTTTCCGAATCTACAATTCACATCAACATGTTGGTGTTGTTATATTGAGCTTGGCATCCGTGTCCACCAAGACTAAAATGGGTAGCATTAATCTGTACTGAGAAGTAAATGTGGCCAGTGTATCAGCTGCCATATCACCTATTAGTACCAGTACTACTGCTACCACTAACACCACCACCGTCACAACAAAAACAACAACACAAAACGGTTACTACTGTCTGTGCAGGTCGGTGTAGCCAGAGAAGTTAGCGCGGCATTCTGTCGCCACGGACTGCTTAGTTTAAATGTGCCCCCGACACTTTAAAAACAAAAAAAAACTTCATCACCTAACCAGTGATGGCAACCCCCAGTAATATTTCGTAATTGAAATAAAAATACACTATACTCACAAATAGCCGCAATAAAAACGTGAACCGTCATTCTCCCTCTCCGAAGGGACGAATTTTTAATTAACCTTGGCATCCGTGTCGACCCAAACCAAACTTGACACTAAGCCGTCTTAGTTAACAGTTTCTGTCATTAATGAATAGGTTTTGATCGAGTAAAGCGTCGTAGGGAAGCTCATTGGGACTTTACTTAAATCTGATGTCTTTGGGCGTAATGCGCAAAAATCGCAGCCTAGCTGTAAACCGCAACGCAATGTGCAAACCGCCCATTTGAGGGGAAAAATTAGCACCCAGCAGGGAATCAAACACCGGTCACCCGCTTGAAGGGCAGGATACTTAGAACTATATTACTGAAGACTTAAGACTTAAGGTCAGATATCACAGCCTGTCCGTAAACCACAACACAACGTGCCAACCGCCCTCTCAAGGGCGAACACATATTACCCGTGACGTGACCATTGAGCATCACGTCGCCGCTATCGCTGGTTAGCTGTAAACCCCAAAACCGAGCCCAAAAAAAGGCGTAAACATCGCACCCTAGCTATAAACTACAAGAAAACGTGGCAGCCACCAAGTTAGCCCCCCCCCCCCCCCCCCCTCCTTTTTCCCAATCTATCACTTTTCAGTACAGATTAATGCTACCCATTTCAGTCTTGGTGGACATAGCTGCCAAGCTCAATTTAACAATAATATTTCGTCAGGCAATGACTTCCCATACTTCGTAAAGGATTATGTGATTTTCACAGAAAGGGGGAGGGGGGTGAGTCAAACACTGTTAACTTAGAGAGCTTAAAATATTATTTTAAAGTTCTCATTTCTTAACTATTTATATTTTAATAATTTCGCCATGGATGAGTTTTCAATCCTTCGGAGAGGGAGATATGACTTCGCAAGGTGATGATTTTTCAAACCTTTCGGAGAGGGAGATGTGATTGCCTGAGCGGGGGATGGGGGTTATGCCAGACACAGTTAAATGAAAGAGCTTAAAATGTTATTTTAATGTTCTCCTTTCTGAACTATTTCTATGTTAATAATTTCGCCAGGTGATGATTTTTTCAATCCTACGGAGAGGGAGATAATATTGTTGGAGGGGAAAAAAAAAGGGGGGGGGGGGGTTATGCCAGACACAGTTAGCTAAGAGAGCTTACACTATTATTATAAAGTTCTAATGTTTTAACTATTTCTATTTTAATAATTTCGCAGTGGATGATTTTTCAATCCTTCGGAGAGGGAGATATGACTGGGTCGAGGGGAGAGGAGAGGGAAATGACAGACACTGTTCTTCTTCTTCTGCCTTTCTATCCCCCAATGGAGCATAGGCCCTCAACCAACTCACGCCAAGTCGTTCTATCCTTCGCCATTGCATGGAGCTCTCCCCATGTCCTCCCAATCTTTCTAACCTCGTTCTCCAGCTCTCTTCTCCATGTGTTTTTTGGCCTTCCTTTATTCCTATGCCCCTGTGGGTTCCAATGCAAAGACATTCTAGTTATGCTGTTCTCCTGTTTTCTCAGTGTGTGCCCTATCCAACGCCAGCGTCTTTTCCTCACTTCCTGATCCACTGGAGCCTGTTTAGTTCTCTCCCAAAGTTCTACATTAGTTATTCTATCATACCATTTTATTCCCTCTATTCTACGCAGGCACCAGTTAATGAATGTCTGTAATTTATTAGTAATTGCCTTGGTTGTTCTCCATGTTTCCGCCCCATACAATAGTACTGATTTGACATTAGAATTAAAAATTTTTAGTTTAGTATTTCTTTTAATTTCTTTTGACCTCCACAAATTCCCTAGTGCTATAAAAGCCACTCTTGCCTTTTGTATTCTTATTTTAATATCTCTATCAGTTCCTCCATCTTTATCTACATTACTGCCTAAATAGGTGTACGACTCCACGTCTTGGAGTGGGGTGCCATTAAGAGAAACCACATTACTATTTGCCTGATTTATTCTCATTATCTTTGTCTTTCCTTTATGGATTTTCAGACCAAGCTGCTTTGATCTCGCATTAAGTATATTTAATTTATCTTGCATCTGATTCCGTGAATGGGACAGAAGAGCAGTATCATCAGCGGGGGGGGGGGGGGGGTTCGGGGAAGGGGGGGTGAGTCAAACACTGTTAACTTAGAGAGCTTAAAATATTATTTTAAAGTTCTCATTTCTTAACTATTTATATTTTAATAATTTCGCCATGGATGAGTTTTCAATCCTTCGGAGAGGGAGATGTGATTGGCTGAGCGGGGGATGGGGGTTAAGCCAGACACAGTTAAATGAAAGAGCTTAAAATGTTATTTTAATGTTCTCCTTTCTGAACTATTTCTATGTTAATAATTTCGCCAGGTGATGATTTTTCAATCCTACGGAGAGGGAGATATTATTGTTGGAGGGGAAAAAGGGAATGGGGGGGTTATGCCAGACACAGTTAGCTAAGAGAGCTTACACTATTATTATAAAGTTCTAATGTTTTAACTATTTCTATTTTAATAATTTCGCAGTGGATGATTTTTCAATCCTTCGGAGAGGGAGATATGACTGGGTCGAGGGGAGAGGAGAGGGAAATGACAGACACTGTTAGCTGAGAGCTATTTTCTTTCGTCTCCATTTCACCATTCTGAGCCACAGCAACGCGTGGCCGGGTACAGCTAGTTATATAATAAGAATGTGAAGTTCAGTGTAACACAGTGAAAGGTGGCCAATCAACTAAAAACAATTACAGGCCGGCAACAAAACAACTAATGAAATTATCATTACTAGAGCGACGTCGTTCGTAGTTTGTGCAACACTCATACATGCAAACACGCGCAGAGTCTAAGGCAACGTTGTGTAAAATGTGAAAGCAATCGGTAAAGATGTATCGAAGATGGATCATGAGGGAAAAGGGATATATTGGCAGTCATGCTTAGCAGTTGTAGGTGGCCAATCAGCTCAAAAACAAATCCGGGCGGGCAACGAAACAAATAATGATTTGATCGTTGCTGGAGCTACCTCGTTCGTGTGTTGTACGATTTTCTGACCCAAAAAAAACCGCGTTGAGTCAAAGGCAACGTTGTGTGAAATTTTGAAAACAATTGGTTCAGTAGTTTCTCAGTCTGTAGTTAACGACTAGGGAAAATTAACATTTTTATTAATATAGATAGAATATTCAAAAATTATGTTGAAAGGTAATTAAATTGTAGTTTGATTTGTGTATAAATCTACTCGTTAACAAAAGTAAGCACAGATCGGTTGTAGACCGGCCTAACAAAACGGAAATTTCCGTAGACCTGTTCGGCCTAACTGATGAAGTTGGCCGTGGACTTGGCTTTATCTCGAAAAAATCCCATTCCAAAAGACGAACTGTTTAGTTTAGTACAGATCTGTACACAATGTGGGTTTCGGTGTCCCCCTGGGAAAGGGAAAGATGGGGAAGGGGGTGGTAGGGAATTGACCACTGTCCCCTATCAAACATGTAGTATAACAAAGCGACTAAAAGTGACGAATTCAGAGTCTTTCCTTCAATGTCAGGGTGCATCTATCTGAGAGGCCAGGAACTAACAGCCTGTAAACAAATTATCGAGAACTCTTCTCCTAATATTTCTATTGCTACTGCTACCACTACACCATCACCACCACTGCTAGTTGTACTAAAACCACCGCTGCTGTTGAAGATATTGCTAATGTTACTATTACTGCTATAGTCCGTTTCAAAAGTTGTGCCCAGTTTCTAAGTACTGAGTGTCGGCCAGATCCTGTGGCCACTGTTTTGTAGCTGAAGTACCAGAATGGCTACTGCTAATTCTTCTGAATCAACATTACCTACCCTTGCGGTGGATGATGGGATCTTGGTCAGTGACAAAATGCTGACATATTTTACCATGATAAACACACTGGGAATCGGCCAAAGTATGACAATCTTAGGTCTGATTGTCAACATTCTCAACATCATCGTCTTTGTCCGACAAGGTCTGCAAGACCCGGTGAATATCAGTCTTCTTGGACTGAGTATTTCAGACTTTGGCTCGTTGTTCTTTCATTTCTTCGCTAATCTTTCTTGGATGCCAGACATACAGATGTTGGACCTGCCATTTTACCCTGGACAGTTTAGTTATTTCTTTGTATGGATTCATATGGTTTTCACTAGAGTGACCACTGGAACAACCGCTTGGATCACATTCGAGAGGTGTTTGTGTATTGTAGTTCCTATGAAAATTAAATCAATCGTCACGCCCAGACGGACGATACTGTTTATTGTTGTGCTAAACGTCATAATGTTTGCTTCTGTTGCTCCCGTACTGTATACTACACAATTTATTTGGATGTTCGATTCGCACCGAAACAAATCTATTTTAGGGATTATGAAAACCGCAGGTAGTGGATACATCCAAAATATTGCTTTCTGGATAAATAACATCCTGCCAACAATTTTCTTCATTTTCATCACTATTTGTACCTTTATTCTGGTGAAAAGTTTACAAAAACATGCAAAGTGGAAGGAGCAGACAGTATCTTCTCCGAATCAAAAAGACGTTTCAAACAGGGACACCAAAGTTGCTAAAATGGTTTCCATCATCTCCATTGTATTCATTTTCTGCTACGCCCCTGGGACAATACTTTTTATATTTTTTGTTGTATTTCCAGAGCTGACTTTTGCTGGCAAACAGAGAAACTTGCTTGTCGGAATTTTTACAATTTTACTTCAGTTGGAAGTCGTCAACGCAACGGCCAATTTTTTCATTTACTTGTCGATGAGTTCAAGGTTCAAATCTACTTTTAAGGATATATTCTGCGGAATTTGCAGTGCAGTGAATCAAACGGCAAATAGCAATGTTCCAACAGTATAACGTGAACTATCCCACATCAGTTGTCAACGAAGGATCTTCTATTGATTGGACTCCTACTGTGTGTGCCCCCCTGTGGAGTTTTCTTTTTATTATAATGGTTAGTTGCCTGTTTCCAAAGATAACTGGTGGTGACTTATACAGCTAATTGCATTGTTGCAGCTGATACTGCTATCGGCAATAAACTGTGTTGATAGTGTGGGACTGTTTGTGTTGGTACTTTTGTTGGCTGCCTTGTGCATTTTATAGACATTCTATGTCGTTTAAGTTGAAAAAGAAACCTGGCAACTAAGGGGTGACCCGTTTGCTATGAAGCTGGAACTGCTACCAGAGAGGAAGACGTCCCATATGAATGATTCACAAAAGTGCGAACATTTTTTTATCCCTCAGAACTCTGCCTTAATGAGGATTTGAACCTAGGAGCATTGGTTAGGCATCCAGCTTGCTGGTTACTGCACTTCTGAGACTAGTGAGAAACTTCAGCATAAAATACATATAAATAATTAGAGTGGGAACGCTTGAGGCTGTAGAAATATTTTTATATAAAAACAAAAAATATACTGATCGGTACTTATAAGAAGTAGAAAGATAGAAGGACACACTAGACACCATAAAAATCGAAAGCTGTAGCTAACGTGCTGGGAATGTAACATGTCACCCCCAAATGACGAATGCTCCTCGCTATGCAAAATAAGGGTATTAAGATGCACGACCAACTAGGCGTCTATCGTACTGCTTAAAATTTACAAATATGGAATGCAGAGAGAATTCGTCTAAGCATATCGTACAGCTTGAAATCCATACCTAGTTGGTCATTATCTTAGTACACTTGTTTCTAGAAGAGTCTTTCTTGAACAAGTGTTTCGACCTCTTTTTCACCCTAACACTCTTCGGGGACAGGCTAACAGGGGCCATAACTCTAGGGACTCGGAGCTCTCCTTTTGTGCTGCTCTCGTATCCTTGTCCACAAACCGAGACATGATTATCGCTCCTGGCACCTGTTTTGTGGGGAGTGGTCGTGGTGACGCTCGACTGCATATTCGAAGGTCGTGAGTTCAGATCCTGACAGAGCCAGATTTTTACAAAATGACCTTAGCTCCTAGGTCGACCCAACCTTGAGGGCGTATCAGGTACTGTCGTGGAAAGTAAAGGCGGCCTGCACAACGACCACATCAACCACAGAGTGTCGACTGGTATTTAAAATAAAGATCTAGCCCTTTATGCCCAATACGCCTGATAGCGTGGAAAAATTGTAATTTTCACTTGTTTTATGATGGTCCTAATCGAAAGACTTGTTAACAACAGGCAAACGGTATGTTTGAGGTCGTTTGAATGTTTGCTGCAAGAGAAATTGAACCAAGATTTGTGAGTTGCATTTAATGAAGGTTGTAAATGCAATGTTTGCACTAAATGTAAATTATGAACACTCTGTTGTCTGATACTGTTCTCCAAAAACCAGATTGAATGAACTTAAGCTCCATGACCCATCCTCTTCTTGTTTGTCTGTGACTGATGCAGGACGTGGGCTTGTGCTTTTTAAGCTGTTTTAATTGAGTGGATGAAATGTGCTTGCTTGTCTGAGAATCTCTCCATGAATCCTGTACACAGTTGTTGAGTATGCTTGCAGAATGTGATCACGTGGTTTGTGTTCAATAAATATCAATGTATTTCACACCCCAAAAAAATTTACATGGTCAGAAAGTTACCTTTTTAAAGATTGAATGCAGTAGAAGCATAGATGAGTTTGCACGAGCGTGTGGTACAAAGCCATTATTGATAAAGTTAACAGAAAGCAAAGGGAATATTCTTGTTGTCATGGATTCATTTACTGTTTTAGGACTGATTGTTCAGCGTTGTTGTGAAAGGCGCACGTTTGCCTTGTATGATATATCATCAGAAGGCATTCTCTCCAAGTGAGCAAACCATTGAATTTGCTATCTTTGTTTGTAATTTAGAATTGGTTCTGTGCCCATTTTATCTCGTTTCACCTCATTCCTAATTTCATCTCTTCTGGTAACTCCTACAGCCTTTCCCAGACACCTCATTTCCGTGGTTACTAATTTACTTTTATGTTTTATTGTGAGTGACCACATATGGCACTAAAAGCATATGGTGGGAATGAATATGCTTTGTATGAGATGTCTCTTTATGCTGATTGGGATTGCCTAATGCTGCGAGAGGGGGTGGTTGGGGGAGGGGGGGGCGTTAACCGTCTCAATATTTGGCCAGCTTTAATGCATCAGATGCCAACTTCTTTGTCCAATTTACCATCTTCAGTAAATGTTGTTCTAATATATTTAAACTCAGTTGCTTGTTTAATATATGTATGCTTTAATGCTATATTTAAATTCCGATTCTTTCTTTATTTCGACATTGTTTCTGTCTTTTTTATGTTGATTCTCGTATTATTTGATATACATTCTTCATTCATGGATGCGAGATGTTGTTGTAAAGTCATGGCTGTATCTGCAATCAAGGCCCATACGTATGTACATCGGTACTAAATGTAATGTTGAAAGCATAAGAGGATAGGTGACGGTTGACACAGAAAGAGATTGATACAGATCGTTGTCTCTTTGTTCCCCGTATACTATGCAAGCCCGCTTTAATCTATTAAAGGCAATGTCAACTTCGTCTGCGAAATTAAGAATGTGTTTTCTGTAGACATCAAGTTTGTGTGTTATGTTTAATGTATGCTCTTCTAAAGACACTTCCGTCCTAGGTGCAGAGAAAGGTCCCTGGCAGAATTTTGATGCCGGTCCAAGATTTTAACCAGAAAGAATCCCTAAGATTTGATATTATGTTATCGCAATCGACGTCACTGCAAATTGGTCATTCCCGTGTGTGTTCAGTCCTCTGATGAAGCAGCAACTTCAGGCTACTTCTACTAATTAATCCCCAAGAAACATTGTAAGTGGAAGCAGGAAATAAATTACTACACAGGAAGTATTATTGCCAGAATTGTTTTATGTGGAGAGAATAAATTTGTATATTCCCTGTCAATCAAAGGCGGCGTCCATGGTTTAGGCGTTGAGAGTCCGATTTTTATCATGGAATGGGGCGTCGCCGGGGGTCGCCGCGGCCGAGCGGCTAGACGCTCCCTACGGATCGGAAGGTCGTGGGTTCGCTCCCTGGCGGAGCCGGACTATTTTTAAACATGACCTTGGCTCCCAGGTCGACCCAGCCTTGGGTGAGTACCGGGTGCAGTCCCGGGAAGTAAGGGCGACCGGTGTGATGCTGACCACATCACCCATCTTGTGCTGACTGGTCTATAAATATATAGGTCTAGCCCTACATGCCCTACACGCAAAAAGGCGGGGAAAAGGGTCCTTTACTTACTTTACTTATGTGGCGTCGCTGGTCGACCCAGGCGAAAATGGGTACCAATATGTATGTCCGGGGGAAGTTTAGATGGCCGGCGTAATGCTGACCACATTACTCACCTAGGCCAATTGGTCTGTACAAATATGGGTGCTCTTTCCTTATGCCCGATGCTCCTAAAAGCGTAAAAAGGGATCTTTATTCTATTTACTATCAATCACTGGTTTTATTAACTTTTGGATGATAGGCAAAATTGATATTTGTTGTTTTAGGCAGTTTTGCGCTTTGTTTGTGTCCAAACACATGAGCCTTGTTAAAAAAAAAGGGAATTGTATTCACTGAAGGCAGAGAACCGCGCTTAGATTTAGTCAGTTGTGAGTGTTAATGATAAAGCCAGGAGTTTTATATCGGTCTGCTATTGGCAAGCTGTTATTCAGTTCGGAACTGTAGCAGTTCTCAGCCCTGAGCCCTGGAGGAAAAAGGGTTCGAGTACTTGCTGATTATCGGAGATTTATGGACACAAATAGTCGGGATAGTCGCTAATGGCTGTGTGATTTGTGCGAAGTTCTCAATTGAGATTTGTAGGGTCTCGGAGAAAAAAAAAAGGAATTGGAAAAGGGGTGGGGGGGTCAAAGCTTCATAAAGTGACATGGAAGGGGATAAGGCAAATGGAAATCGAGGTCACGTGATCAAGTTCAGAATCTGCTTTGACTAAAGCATTAGATCAGCTTTCAAAGGTGTCGTATATCCACAGACGTTATCCCAGTCTGGTCAACGTTATTAAAATCTGATACATTGAAATGTGGTAACGTGTGAAAAATGTAGAAGGGAGAAAAAGAAAAGGGGGGAGGGGGGGGGGGGCAAATGAAGACTAGTTTCACAAAACTTCAAATTTAAAATAATAATAATAAACAACTGACAGTGAAAAGTCACCTTCGGCAGTAAAAAAGAAAAACAATAGGACAATACAAAAAGGACTTTATTGCCTGTAATTAACACTTTTAGTGTTGTGTAATTTCTTAGAATACCTTGGACCAAGAAAAATAAAATTACCGACATCTTACGTGAAAAGAGTAACAGTATGTGAAAGACATGCTGATAATGATAATGATGTGTTGTGTAGTCATGAAGTCGTGAGCCAGCGAATTTACGGCCGCATGATTAGTACAGTCGCCACGAACTGTGCATGGTAGATTTTCTATTTTTGCTCCCAGCAGAAAAATCTCCATCGCACACCGAGTTTTGAGCACTCTTCTTCTACACGAGAGCCCACAAGACAAAAGGTACACACATTTGCTAAGAATACGCCAGACGACGAACGTGTTCTTTGGGCAAGTCATGATAAAGAGTAAACCGTAATACAACGTGAGGGTGGATACGTTGGATGGGAACATCGCCAGAGGAAGACCAAGAGAACAGATGCTGGACAGTTTGACATCATGGCATAAGACCCAGATCAAGAGAATATCATGGATTTTCTGTCTAGAATATTCACGTGTGTGAGGTAACGAGCAGAGTGATAGATTAGCTGCTACCTTCCCTCAGGTCGGTGAGCTGCTATATGATAAGGCGGATGTGGTATGGGTATCTCTCTCTCTCTCTCTCTCTCTCTCTCTCTCTCTCTCTCTCTCTCTCTCTCTCTCTATCTATCTCTCTCTCTGCAGAACGTCTAGCTGTCTGAC